ACGGAAATCTTTATATCAATCTTTATATCACTGAAATTAAAAAATAAAATAACAATAACTAAACTATTGCATATATTAATTTTAGGATGTGTGTTGGGGTGTAATGGATCTTGGCTCGGAATTCAAATTCGGTGAGCTGAGTTCAATTACCAGTTGTGTTTGTTCTATTCATTTACGTACAAATATCATTGGTGTTTCAAAAATTCCCAACCAAGATCTATTATTGCATGTTTGGTCTTTTAAGAAACATGGTGGGGGTTGCGGTGTCATGTTGAATAATCAGACTGTATCGCTGGTCAGTCTATCTCTTCTGTTGTTTACCGCAGAACGAAATGGCAACCTACTGCGGGAAGAAATATTCTGCCTCGTCATTCATGTATCGAAAAGTACATGATCACCCAACTGTTTATTATGCGTGACAGTTAACTGACTAATAAATTAATTTACAAGTTGTATTATGAAATGGCTTGTTAATTTTAAAGCTTAACTAACTTATAGATCCTTTCTTTATTATTATCAGCATGGCAGATGCTAACCTCCAGGAGATCAAGTCATTGAAACTTATCCGACTCATATTTACTGGTGACATGAATTAGCATGTTTAAATGGAATCATTTGCTGGGTTTGCTGCCATGTAGTTCTTAATCACTCGTTCGATAGTTACTTTTAGCTAGAAACTCTTTCAGATATGTATAAGTCTAATATTCGCCAGTTCGTCAAGTATTGCTGAAACATATTGTCTTGTGCTTCTGCTCTATATCTAGAAATTATTGATAAATTCCAAAGAAGAATCTACGGTGTTCTCGCTTCTGGTATTGCATTTTATTCGTTTTTTTCTACAGCAAAAGTGCAACTTAACTGTGTATTTTTATAAATATTTTCATGATATTTGTTTTGATGCGCTTTCCTCTTTGGTACCCCGGCTTCAGGAATTTGAGCGCAGTACTCAATTGGCAGTTAGGTTTCACCATTTTACTTTTGAAATTGATAGGTGTAATCATAAGCCTTATAATATAAAGTTCTTTTCCCGCATTTCTCATTTGTGAAACTTTCTTCTGCCTTCTTGCTTTCCGATCTATAAAAATGTAAATGTAATGTCTATCTTCATCTTTTATCTCCTTGAATTCTGTTCTTTTCTTGTCCTTACAGTTACTTTCACTCACAGTAACCCCTTCCATCCTGGTAGCTAGTGATATATTTTTAATCACTTTGTACAAGAAAGGCGATAAACGCCGACCTTGGTACGAAGAGATTAAAAATATATCACTCCACCAAATAAGCTACTATATAGATTTTTAATATAAACAATTAATTTTAAATTCACGCCGTTTATTTATAATCTAAATATATCCTGAAAATGTTAACAAACTTGAGAATATTATGAGTAGAGCCTGTGTCTACTACCTCCGAACACCCCGACGGGGTCAGGCCCAAACCTGATTGGAGCAACTCTTTGCAACTTCTTGGTCTCATATTTACAGAAGGGATTTATGACCCCGGTTATCAATACTTACTTTTTCTACCTATATCTATATACGTTACAAATTAAGCTAGTCACAAGTGAATATTTTGTCGGAAAATAAACACGATATAAAATTCCCTATTTTTTTAACCATAATGTTGAATGTGTTAAAATTAATCAAATTTTTAACAAGAAAATTTTCAGATTGATGTTAAAGTTATGATGGCGTAACTTTAATTTGTATTTAAATACTTAGTATTTATTTTTACGTTTTCTAGTTGAATTGTTCGCCTATGTTACATGTAACACATTATTGTGCATATTTAGATTACAATTAAATTTGTATTTTATATGAATACTGCCTTATGAAAATTGAGATGCAGTAGAAGCGGTGCGTATTATAGATTCAGTTGGGAGGGGTAGTCGAAACCCTTGCACCGGTCCTGATTATGAGAACATCGATTTGCATAATAATTCTTTCATAGAGTAAAATGTGAGAAAGTTATGTGCATTAGAAAAGGGCTCATTTTCTTGCATATCAACACGCAGTGAAAGAATGTCTGTTTGTCAGAGCTCCTACTCAACATCCTCTTCGTCATCGATGTTCTGAAATGTCTGCTGAATAAGCCTGCACAGCACGCGGATGCCCTTCCCTTGCCTTCTCTGTCTGCTTCCCTTCAACGCGTTCTCGGCTCTTTCGCCCCTTGTTGCAAATAGATTGTAATATGATCTCTTAAACATTTTTCAGTCAGAAGCGCTAGGCGAGTCATTTGCCCCTCCAGTAAAATTTCAATGCTTGCTTTTGTAGGTTTCCACATTTTCTGTTCATTTTAGGGAGAACATCTCAGTGCTTATGATTTCTTCTTTTTTTTTTAATATTTCCCCATAAGCATGCAATAAAGTCTCTAAGACGTAAGAGGTTGCTGAGTGTTCAAGAACATGAGAAAATATAATATTAAGAACAGAAAGTACAAGGAAAGAAAATAATTAAGATGATGTAAAATAACGATGAACAAATTTGACTGAGAATTAAAAAGCCGGAAATGAGATCCACAAGATAGAAGTGCAATAGAAGAAATTATTAACATAGAACTTACGGTGACATCTATCCATTACAACTGTAAAAAGACGGGACCTTGTCTCTAATATAGTACTTCAATTAAATTCATGAACTCTAGGTACCATAGAGGAAATTTCATCAGAACAATTACCAGGAAAATATTTATAGAAAAGCACAGAGGAGCAACAAACATTACTGAGGTAGGAAAGTGACTTAAGCCAGGATAGAACCAATAACTTTGCAGATTCTTCTTGGTATTTTATCAAGAATCTCTAAATCTATTGCAGAAACACAAGGCAATCTGTGACAACAATATTCAAAGCATGGACGAATTGTAGACTTATAAATGTGTAAGCTAGATTATAGTGAGAAAAAGGTCTAGCACGATACAATGAAATTAGTATCCTAGCAGAAGACCGAGCAACTGATTTAATATAATCCCTACACTTCATGTGAGCAGAAAACGTTAGCCCGTGAAAGAGAAATGAATCACTCTCCCAGAGGTTATCATCAACCATGTTGATCGAAGGTGGAAAGAGACTTATCAGATGATTGGAAAAGATTTGTTTCGTTTGGGACGCGTTGAAATTAACAAGGCATTCATTTTTGACACAATAAAATTCTGCAGTTTATCTGCTAAACGAAAGACACGTGAATCGTTCAAATTTGTTTTCAGTTCGTTAGCGAATTAACATTTCCAAATTTGTTTTTCCTTTTTACTAAAACCATAAATTTGAAGTAAACTTGTAAAATACACTGTTTTTTTTTTTTACATTATTCGGACTATTGTCCTCATCTATGTTGCCATATTTATCACAAAGTTCGACCGTTGTAGACTCCGACCTTCTTCAGGTGGTTGGAATGTTATTTTGCTCGCTGGGGTAGACGGTTCTATTTCCAGGTGTTACGTCTAATGGATGTCAGTTGTCAGTTATCTCCTGTCAATACACCTCTCCAAGTTCTCCACCGCCTTAACCAGGTATTGAAATCACAATCTTTGTGTCCTGTCACTGGATCTAACTAACGCCTTTATCCACTGTGCCATGTGTCCTTGAGGACATTCCAACCACCTGAAGAAGGCCGGAGCGTACAACGGCCGAAGCGTACAACGGCCGAAGCGTTGTGATACATAGCCAACAAAGATGAGGACGATAATCAGAATAATATAAATAGTGTACAAAATACCTTATATTTCGAAATATCGAGAGATACTGAAGAATTGGTACAGATCTGATACTCCGAAAATATGGTGATAAATATGGCAACGAAGATGAGGACAATAGTCCGAATAATGTAAATAGTATAGATAATACCTCATCTCCGAAATATAGACAGATAATGAAGAATTGGTATGGACCCGATACACCGAAAATATGGTGATAAATATGGCAACAATAATGAGGACAATAATCCGAATAATGTAAATTGTGCACATAATATCTCATCTCCGAAATACAGACAGAAGGGCCGAAACGTTGTAATACATATGGTGACAAAGTTGAGGACAATAGTCCGAATAATGTAAATAGAGTACATGATACCTCATCTCAGAAATATAGACACATACACGACATTTGATCATTACTTTGCTCTCTATTTTTTCCCATTGCCTTCATTTTTGATGAATTTTTTGAGCTTTAAACTAAACACTTTTTGCAAAAGAAAAAAAAAATGGAGCTTTCGTGGAGATAAACTTTCCTTCGAATTTCTTTTTTTATAGATGGCGCCTAAATATTACCGGTAATATCACGTAGACATATTAACACAGGTTCAATTCAAGTTCTCACTATATTCAATTTCTTATCGAAATTGTCACCAGTTAAAAGTCAAGCTAAATTGTAACTAGTTTTTTATTTAATTTAAAAACTGAACGATATTCAATCATAAATATTAATGATAATGATATAAACCCCATCGAAATATTAACAAACCTAAGCTTAGATGCTGTAATGGATAGCGGCTCGGATTGTGATTTCGTAGAGCCGAGTTCGAATTCCCGTCGAATCCATTACATTCACTTGGGAAAGGTATGAATCCTCTTATTCTCTCTCTAGCTATGGGTAAATAACGGAACATCTTAAGTTCTGTAGCATTGGATAGCAACTGGTCTACAGCAGAACGAAATGGCAACCTACTGCGGGAAAAAATATTCCTTGTCAGTCATATAGCGAAAGATACATGATCGCCTAAGCGTGTATTACGCATGGTACATAAAAGACTGAAGCTTACATTATTAATTCGTCAACAGATTTTGAAAACTAAGAAATTTGTTTTATCATGCAAAAACTTTTCAAGAACTGACACATTTTAGTTTTGTACAATTTTTTTCTACAGCGTGTGCAAAGTTTATTTTAAATATTTGCTAATAGAAAATTACTTAATTTCTCCCTTTCAAAACTAATATACTGCTGCATTCAAAGTTAATTCTTATTCTTAACAAAGTCTGTCATTCTGAATTTTCATCTTTACTCACCCCAGTTCATTCCCTCTCTGAATTAGTCTCCTCCACTCTCCCTCTATCTCTCTCTGTCTGTGTCTCTTTTTCTCGCTCGCTCGCTCGCTCACCTTCATTTTCACCCATTTTTTCACTACCATTTTATTTTTAAGCTGACGCTTCTTAACAACCGTTTCTTTTTAGTATGTGGCTCTACTATTTGTCAGTTGTATGGGGTTAGTGATATTTTTTGTTAAAAAGGAAGATAGAGAAACTGAATTAAATATTTCTTTTGCTCTTTCATTTTCCTTTTCATACTTTCATCGTTTTTATCATCCTTGATATTTTTTTCGTTTTCGGCCCCTTCTTTTTTTCTTCTTTTTTTCACTGCTTTTATATTCTCTGTTTCTCTTTCCCAATAGTTCTTTGTTATTCTCCATCTTGCTTTTTCCTTTCTTTCTTTTTTCTTTCATCTTCCTAATTTTATGTGCTTCTCTCTCTCTCTCTCTCTCTCTCTCTCTCATTATTCTTTGAACTTCTCTCGCTCACACATTTCCTTCTTTCACCATTTCTTTTTCTTTCATTCTTTTATTTTTTTAAAATTTATTTTTCTCTTTTACTTTGATATTCTCTCATGTTTTTTTTAATTTTTCATTTAATTATTTCTTCCTATGTTTTCCTTCTTTGTCCATATCAATATGTCTTTCTTTTCTTCACCGTCTTATCCATAGGCATCTCTCTCTCTCACTTCGTTCTATGTTATTATCTGTTCCTTTTATTTTCTGTTCACTTTCATTTTTTTATATCTATCTATCTATCTATCTATCTATCTATCTATCTATCTATCTCTCTCTCTCTCTCTCTCTCTCTCTATATATATATATATATATATATATATATATATATATATATATATATATAAATATATATGTTATGTGTGAGTGTTTGTGTGTAGGTGTGTGTGTGTTCTGAACAATGAAAATATTAAAAATTAAAATTTTCAGACACATTGTTTACATATTAATTTTTTTTTGTTTTATTATTTCAGTTATTTCCCTTGACTAGTTTTGTTTTGCATGGCCATAATGACGAGAAGAAAACATTGCTTGTTAGTAGCAGTGAACTAAAGCAATGAATGATTTTCTGAAGAAAATGAACTTTATCTGTAGTTTTTTCATTTATTTTCCTATCGTTAATTTTGTTCAGTCTTTTTGTGCTATATATATATATATATATATATATATATATATATATATATATATATATATATATATATATATATATATATATATATACAACTATCTCCTCATTTGATTGTTTTTTTTGTCTTTCTCTTCCCGTAATTCTTCCTCACTATCGCATTTATTTTCTCTTCTTTCATTCATCCTCCATTCCCCGGTTTGTGATTCTCATGAAATGTCAGACTAGTCATTCAATTTCTTGTTTATTTAAACAGTTTTGTTCAAATCTGTTTTCTTCATATAAACCTCGTTATACTCTCACACATACTCTCTTTTCTCCTCCTCTCTCTATTCCCCCCCCCCTCTCTCTCTCTCTCTCTTTCTCATTCACTTCATTAATCTCTTTCCTTCTATCTCTTCTTTTGCTCCCCTTTATATCCCTTGTAGCTCTGTTACTCAATTGAAAAAGAACACAGACAGTTGTGGCATGTCTCGTCGTCTATCTATAGCTTTCTTTACTTCACTCCACACTCCATATTTGTAAATGTAACTATTTCAGCTACTAATGCAGGCAGTCGTACGACTACGACCGGCAGGGTTGAAACATGGCTCGTTCGAAAGTATCGTTTTGTTTTGCTCTGGTTTAAGTTCGATTTCATGGTTTAAATAAATATTTAATAATATAATCAAGAATGAATATGCATTTAAATAAATTATAGTCATGTAATAATAATGATAATAATATATATATATATATATATATATATATATATATATATATATATATATATATATATATATATGTGTGTGTGTGTGTGTGTGTGTCTTCAGTGTTTTATAGAGTTGAGAATAAATTTTTATTTTCCATTATAAAATTTTTTTATATATATACATGTATGTGTGAGAGAGAGAGAAAAAGAGAGTATGTATGTTGGTGCATATGCGTATGTTTGTGTTTGTGTGTATGCTTGTTTTAGTGCGTTTTTATGCTAATTCGTTTGTGTGTGTGAGAGAGAGAGCGAGAGAAATAATGTTTGTTAGTGCGCATGCGTCTGTTTCTTGGTGCGCATGCCCGTTTGTGCGTGTATGTTTGTTTTAGCATGTGTGTATGCTTAGTTGTTTATGTGCACGTGTGCGTGCGCACGAGCGTACTTGTGTGTGTGAGTGTGTACGTGTGTGTGTACGTGTGTGTGTGTGTGCGCGTGTGCTTGTACTTGTGTGTGTACTTTTGTGCGCGCCTGCGTGTGTTTGTTGTGATGGTGGAGGGTGGAGGGCGCTGGCCAAGGAAATATATTAAAAAAACAATTTTGATTTTAGATATTTGTCCAAATTTTTGGAAATGTATCGCTTGAAGAATTTTTCAACGCCTCTCATCTCTATGCCTGCTTCAGTATAACTAGAAATTTGGATAAACATGAAATCATTTATATTAGTAATAAAGACTCTTATATTAAGAAAAACTTTGAAGTGGAAGTGGTTCGAGTTAAATAGTTCGATCATTTGGACCCGGACAATCAGCTACACTCTAAATAAGTTATATTGAATTGATCCATGGGAGGCTAAAATTCTGAAAAGTGTTTGAAGAAAAAAAAATTCTTCAATTAAACGGGTAAACTGCAATTTCGTTTCAGGTTTGCTCCAGTTCGTAAATATACGTAAAAAAGTCTCTAGGTAATTGCTTTATAACCTTGGGTTATCCTATCTCAAACGCCCATTTAAAAGTGAGCCAGGCTGCTATCTTCTTTCCTTCACCCAAGTTGCTGGTCAGTACGAAAAACATTTAAAAATAATTAAAAAGAAAAAAAAAAGAAATCAAAAAACAAACACATTTTCTAATCTTTTAAAAAGAGAGCTATTTTAGTCATTTTTTATTGTCAATTCAAAGTCACTTGAAATGCACGAGTAATTACACTGCAACTACTTTACATACATCGCTTCTTTCTATCAAGTACAATATTTGGTGTCGTCTGTAAAGATTTGTACGGCATTCTTTCATGTTCTTTTCTGATTTTGTTTCTTTTTTAAATACCACGATCACAACGTATATTTTGTACATACCCACTTATTATCTACCCGACACTCAGCTCTCCATGACGTCACTAACTAACTATTCAGGGCGGTTTATGTTACTGTTGTATGCCAGGATTTTAGTTTTTGGTTTTTAGATAACTTTCGCTTTTCAGTTCCATCGCTACTACTGCTAATCTGTGGCTGTCGTGACTAATCTGTTAAAGGGACTTGTTCTATTCAGTAATTCTCTTCTAGGCCATCAATTAGAAAAGTCGCCTATGAGCTGGTACATAGGATAGAGTATTGTTTTTTTTATTTTCATATTCCCTGAAGAGTTTTGAAATGTTTACAGAAAACACAGACATGTACACATATACAGGTAAGCTTATACACATACCAATAAACTCATGCACAGATAGACATAAGCATACATATACACATCATTTCATATTTAAAATAAACTGCACGTTGCTACGTAGTTAGACCGTTTGCAATACGACGATGAGACACGGGTTCAAATTTCAACATGTCAAGAACGTGACTTCCTGATGATATCGATCCGGTGGGTAGGGGTCGATCACAGGGTGCGTCCCTTTTGGGTAGTGCCTAAAACCCACAGCACCTTTTTTTCCGTGTGAGCGGAATTATGTAGACGGAATTGTCCGTCGATGGTTGCGGAGACTCGAAGTCACAAGTCTTCGTGACCGAGGATGTGAGAGAACTGGCCTTGTGAAAATTGTTGATCATGAGGGATTAGGCATTCTGTCTTATAAACTGTAAATAAGGTCCTCTTAGCAGGACTGAATGACAAGCCGCAGGCGGGCTCTCTTCTTGTTGAAGTAACACAAACGTAACAGGAATTGTCTAGACACCCTAGCAGGCAGGTATACTCGGATAGGAGCGGGCATTTATTACATACATACATACATATATATATATATATATATATATATATATATATATATATATATATATATATATATGTAATGTATGTATGTATGTATAAAATAGATAGGTTGATTAACAAAACAAGGGAAAACGAAAAGGTACCAATATGATCAGTGCGAAAAGAATTTAAATCACAAGATAGAAATGAGGCACGGAGATTAATGTTATTAGTCCGGAATTTTGGGCACGCCAGTGCCCTTCATCAACAGTGCGAGAAATAAACAGAGAAACGTGGGAGACTTACCAACGATGTTGATTCTTTTTTATATATATATATATATATATATATATATATATATATATATATATATATATATATATGTGTGTGTGTGTGTGTGTGTGTGTGTATATATGTACAAATATATATATATATGTGTGTGTATATATATATATATATATGTGTGTGTGTGTATATATATATATATATATATATATATATATATATATATATATATATATAAAGACAGAGATATACGTGTGTGCATGAGTGTACGCACGTCTGTGTTTGTGCGTGCGTGCAGGGGTTTGTGTGTGTACATAGTATTATAAGATGTTTAGGGTTGGGTCACTTGTTCCTTCTAAAGTTTACTACTTTATACTCTATAATTCTGAAGTCTGAGAAAATTTATTTATTATTTATTTATTTGTTTTTTTACCTCAATGGGAGTAAATGGTTTTGTTTATTGTCCGGATCACAAACTTCGCCAATCTTTTGAAGTTTGTCTCTTGTTTTCTGTTTAGAATTGGGTTTACGCTTCCTTCTAAAATCTTCTAATTCTGTTTCACCCCCAGTAGCCCACTTGCGTCTTGGTGGCACCATCGCCTTGACTGGGATAAATTAATTAAGAAAAAAAAAAGATACATCATATGAAAAAGTATTATAATAAATTGGATTATAAGTATTTTCTTCTTCCTCAGTAAATAGTTGCTGATTTTCCTAATTCAAAATTAAAAGGGTGAGAAATTATAACTAGAAAAAAAAATTAATTAATCATTATCTAAGACATACGAACAGACAAAACTTTTAACGAATACGTGTAGTATAAGTCGTAGGTTCATGGTATACAACATTAAAGGAATAAGATGCATTTCGTGTTTATATGTGTCTATGCTCACGCTAGCGACACTAGATGCTCTAATGGTTATCATCCTGAATAAATATTATCATCGAACTGAGTTTCTTTTATAAATTCTATCATATTTTCATTTCCTGTTTCCATTACGATAAATATCCTCACTGATACGGCTGATACAGAGTTTTTGAAACACTTGGACATGACACTTACATACAGCAACATTAATTTCTCAGACAGTAAAAGAACAACCAGTAAATACTAAGTCGACTTTCATATATATTTAAAAACTCATGTCTGAAAGCCTAATAAGGAAATGACACAGATCCTTCATTTTTTTAAATTACTGCGTGTGTATGTATATGTATATAGTGTAACCCAGATATAAGAGACCTGGATATAAGAGAAACCCGGATATAAGAGAGATTTTCTCAAGTCCCAAATTAGAGACTGTGTTAATGTATATAAAATTGACCAAACCCGGATATAAGAGAAACCCGGATATAAGAGACTTCTTCTCCGGTCCCGACAACTCTCTTATATCCGGGATACACTAATATATATATATATATATATATATATATATATATATATATATATATATACACACGTATGTATATATATACATACATATATACACATACATACATAAGTATATATATATATATATATATATATATATATATATATATAGATAGATATGAACAAGA